TATATTCTTTAAATCTAATGTAGAAAAGTATTAAATCAACTTTCTTTTTTGACATTCCCATTCCCCAAAGAACCTTCTCTAGTAGTGTAAGACACGTTTCCTCATGTCCCCTCTACAGGGGGTGCTGGCCTGTCGACACATGCTAGAAACATTTCCTTGTGACCCCTCTATGGAGGTGCTGGCCGGTCTACACGCGCTACAAACATTTTCTATGACCCCTCAATGGAGGTGTCTACACATGTTAGAAATGTTTCCTTGTGATCCATCTATGAGGGGGGAGGAGTGCTGGCCTGTCTACACATATTAGACAAGTTTCTTCATGACCCCTCTATGGGGTTGTGGCCTGTCTACACATGCTTGTTTGTGTTTCCCCTTTTATATCACGATTCAGAGCTGACTCATGTGTAATTAGTAACTCTTGGGACAGTTACCCTGTTCTCGACATCCTCACACAAAGCCAGTCATGCAGAAACATCGCCCTTCTGCAAGCAAAGGGATGCAGAAATAGCTCTTTAAAAAAAATAAATTCAAAAATGATTCTCTACCTTACAAAAGGATGCGATAGAATTTCTGGAAAAACCATGCCCCCTCTCAAATATATATAACTTTTATAATAGTTCCATGAAGTCGCTTTAATGTGACTGCTTTTCAGAGTTCTGACCTTTGCCCAAGCAAACACTGTCATATTGCCTTGCAAGCAATTCTTTAGAAGCATCCTAGGTTTCTTGATGAGAGTGTTTCCCATCCCCGCCTTTCTCCTCCCAGCTATTCCATTCATTCTGCAAGTATTTATGAGTGTGGCCACCCTATGGAGACTCCAATCACCTTCTCCAGGACCATATAAGAGAGGTGGGTACAGCCCTAGCCTCCCAGCACCCAGTTCTTGGGCCTATACTCTTCCCTGGGTGCCTGGAGTTGCCCATTTTCCAGGGGCGGTTGACATTCTGGGGTGGGTTTTCCCTGTGGATAAGGGTACTTTTCTCCTAGTTTCATCAACAGAAAATTGGAATTTTTAAAAGGCATTTTCTAAGAGAATGAAGGCAAAGCACAACAAAAAGCAGAATCAAAGTCCAGAAACAGAGAACAAGTGGAGTGTACTGAACATGGGCCCAGGACTGGGGATGCTTGGCCTGGTTGACCAGATCCATGGAAGCACAGGCCTTGCCTGGTTCCAGTTCCTTGCCACGACCCTTTCCTTAGCAGCTTAATGCAACTGCGGCAAATGACATCTGTGAGATCTTCTGATGGGTGGCCTTTCAGATGCTCACTTGGTTTTATCTTCACAGGAACCCCAAGAGGAAGGTGCTGTTATCAAGCCAATATCACAGATGAGAAGACAGAGGCTGCAGGATTTGTCCAGGGACACAGAACCCATAAACAACAAGGCTTCTCAGCTTTGTTGGCTCATTTATGGAACCCAGAATCTGTGCTTCATCTTGTCTTGGACACTGGATGCCCCCTGGGTGGCTGCTCTGATGACATGCCCACCTCTGCCCGTCCCCATGCTTCCACTCCTCCTCCTCAAAAGGTTCTTGCTTATTCCCCTGGTGGTCCTTGAGACATGTGCCTCCCAGGACACCTTGACCAGATAATTAAATTCCTCTCTGCAGTTGTGTGACACTGGCCTCTTCCTGGTGATGCTAAGTGGCTAACCAGCCCACTTGGGTTTCATCATTGCGGCAGGCACCAGTGCATCCCCTTCCCCTATCTCCCAGAGGAGACCCTTTTCTTCCTCGTTCCGTATGAAGCCTCCCAGGCCACAAGTCTCTTTTATGAGGGATGAGGTTTGCTTATTCCTCTAGACAGAGTCATTGTTTCTAGAGTTCTGTTACTCCCAGTGTCTGTCTAGAATGAAATCACGGCCCTCTGCACACAAAGTGACACCATGAGCCACAGCAGGAAGAGACATCTGGAGCAGGAGAAGGGCTCTCTGAGCCTGCGGGCTCTTCTTCCAGGGCCAGCCTGGCCCAATGGTGCCCCGCGTATCAGGCAAGTATGCAGCCTTGAACTTCCTGTGTATCCTTCAAAGAGGTCATGTGCTCTTAGCTAAAGAAAAGGCTACAGGTCTGCACAGGGACCACAGGTCTCAGTGAGGAGTGTGTTCTCCAGATGACTTGGCCAACTGCCTGCCTCCATGATGGGGGGGCTCCTGGCTTCCACCCTGGCATTCATGTATAATTAGCTTTTGCTGTTAATTTCATCATATCTTTATGTTCAAATGTCACATTTTGCCCAGCGCTCCGGAGAAGCAGCCGAATCTCAGGAACAGTTGGTTCCTTGGATTTACCTGGACTTTGCATAATTTATCTAATGGTCCCTGAATCCTTACTATGTAGATCAGTAGAATCATCATGTTAGCTGTCTGACAGAAATGAGCGTTTCCTCACAGAGGGTCAGGTGGACTGATCACACAGAATTATCTTCCTTGTAGCTTTAATGAGTCAGAAGGTCAGTGATTCCAGCGTGTTCTGCAGGTACTGACACAAGCAGGTTTTCTACAGCCTGAGTGGAGGATGGGGGAGCCGGCTACAAACCAGTTACCTCTGAATATGACTCTGCTCTAATCAAGACGTGCTCTCATGAGAATAGGCCTGTAGCTTCAGCGCCGAAAAGACGTGCCATTTTACCTGCGTTTAGTGGGCGAGAATTCTAGCAAGAATGCTGACTGGGGCTCATGAATGCCGCCTGTCTCCAAGCCTCTCGGTTCCTGTACCAGGGAAATATTCGAGATGGGATCCCGTGTGACTGAGAGAGCACTGGAACCCATCTGCAAAGTCAGGCCAAAGTTAGGTCAAAAGGAGGAACTATTGAGGGAAGAGAAGACACCCAGAGGTCAAGGCACAGCCGGGTCTACTTGGTGGCACTGGCACAGCACAATCCCTATCTGTCTCCATACTTGTCCCAACTCCTACTAGCAACTACTGCGTTTTGGAGTCAGGGAGATGTATGTGGTAACATTTGGTTTCAGAAAAGCATTGATTGATAAGAAAGGTTCAGTTTTCCTCGAGTTTGCAATCTAGATGCATGGACTCCAGTGAGTTGGTCAGACTGCCTCAATGTGTTTCTCGATCCAGCACTGTAGTTGGGTAAGGGGTAGACATGTATTTAGAAACACACCCATGGCAAGGCACTTGTCGTGACATGTCCCTTCAATGGATATCTTGTGTCAGGTTTTGTGATGTTTTGGTCAGTTAAATAGTGAGTCTCTTCTTGTGTTTTAGACATTTTAATAGAAATTAACCCTTGTGTTTGCTTTCAGATTGGCCGTTATACATGTGAATGGCAAAACACAATTTTCCATGAAAAAGACAGCATCTTCATGTACCAACAGGACTTGAGATATCATCAAGTTGTGACTGAGTATCTTGAAATATGAAAATATCAGAATATAATAAGAGCTCTCTAAATGAAATTTCCCCTTCACTAACTTGTCAGATAAACATATTTGGCTGATATGTTTGGCCCCAATACCAAATCTCATTACAAATCTGAATTTTTGGTCTACTTTCCTTTTCTAAAAGGGACAAATGTCAAAACAGTCTCTGAAAAGTCAGCTCTAAAGTCCCATAACCACTCTGCATCGAGAGAAGAGGTTCTGTCAAAGATCACGACCAAACACACGTCTACTAAATGAGCTATCTGCTCCTCAATGCTGGAGACTCTGGGATTCATTCCCCTCTGACTCCAGAATCAGCAGGGAGTGCATTTCTGGAGGCAGCCTTGTGTCCGGGACACAGGGTCTGAAGGGTCTGAAGGGAGAAGAAGCAGGGCGAGGGTGTGCCATTTTCAGCTCACTGAGGGGGAAAGCCAAACTTCTTGGTTCTTGTTTTGTCGTCTTGAGTTATCTGGTAAGTGGGCTGCTGTGTTCCTCAGTCTCTTCACATGTCTGGTCCAAGGGGGCCTAGAACTGTGTGTTTTCCATGCAATACGAACATCCAGGGAGCAGGAGCCACCCACACTGTCCCTTGGCCAACAAGGTGTTAGCCTCCTCGGCAGACTCTGGGCTTGGTCTCCAGACTCTGCAACAAGGCTAAGCTTTTAGCGAAAATATGGTTGTCTGGCTTTTTGTGGTCTTATTCCACCAGTCTATATTGGTGTTAAATTACCAGGTAAAAAAAAGTTTGCAGGAAAACTAATGTTAAACAATTTGCAGGGCCCATCTTAAGACTCAGGAAGGGAACTCTACTGTGAAAACTGTTTCCCTCTCCCCAAAGTGCAGCGGCTGCTTCAGCCAAGCAACAACACGGGTTCTGTCTTTTATCAAAGGGTGGCTCCATTTCAGTATGGAGAAGAACACGGCTGGGATGCCCTGTGTCCTGGCTTTCACAGTCACCAAACAGGAAGATGCTTGGGGCTCGAAGATCCAGGAGTCAGCTGGTAAGAAGCTCTGAGTTACAAACATCTCTCTAAATGAAACTGGGACATTAAATATGCATCCACATGTGGTCACTCCAACGAGGACATGACACAATAAGGACAACAAGCTGGGAAGAGCACCTCTGTGGAAGAGGTAGCTGATGCCTCAGTGCCTCCTTGGGAAGAGTTGAACACCAGACCTGCACCTCCTTCCACCTCGCTTCCCATGACAAGTCATAGGCCTATGAATGACAGTTATCACCCAAAGGACGCTGGGTGAACCGGGAGCCCAGGGAGAAAGAACAGACACTGTGTATTTGTCAGAGGGCTGAAAACAGCAAGCACAAACAGCAGGCACTCATAGATGTGCATTCCCACCACTGAAAACAGAATCACCGGTGCAAAATCCTACACACAGTGAAATGGGGGTGGGGGTGGCACGTTCTAGGTGGACGAAAGGCAAAGTTCTCAGCAGGTAAATATTTCTGCTCATTTCCAGGAAGAGGCCTCACTGCAGAGAGCCCTGCCTGTCAGTCTCCATGTGGGCAGGGTGTGGCCATCTGTCCTCCCGTCCCTGGCAGCCAGGAGACACGCAGATGCTGGGTGTTGGTGAGGGAGGGGAGGACTGTGAGACGCAGGCTTACCAGGATCACGTGGCCAGTGGAGATGTCCATGTTGGGTTGGACGGGCTCCTCCGACCAGGACGAGGTGCTGCTCCGTGCAGAGGGGCTGGGCATCGGGCCATCGCTGAACTGGGAGGACACGCTGCTGATGCGCGACGTGTGTGGGCCCTCAGGTCGGTCGGGCGGCCGCATGGCCATGCGCTGGCGGCACAGCTCCTGGAGGACGGAGGAGCAGAGGCAGGAGTTAGTGCCCTCAGGGACGCCTGGCAGGCAGGGATGCACAGCACCTGCTCGGCACTCACCCTTCCTTGTGCTAAGATCGAAGAGTCAGGTGGGTGAAAGCTCTCCCTGTGGCCGGCCAGCACACCCTTGCTTGGTCCTGGGGTGTCCTGACTCCACATACCCCGGAAATACCTGCTGAGGCTCGACACCCTACAAGGGCTTAATGGTCAGGCGGGAGAGAGGACAGTGACCTTGCTCTCTGAGAGCCTGAGCAGACACAGAGCAGAGCTGGTTCTGAGAATGTGAACACGGCTCACACATCCACACACACACCGCACCACACACACACTACACCACACACCCACCGCATCACACACCCACACACAGACACCCATGCCCCACACAGAGACACACACACGCACACCCACGTATGTTGCACCACACACAGACACCCAGACACACACACACGCCACACCTCATACACCACACCATGGCCGTACACATCCACACATTCACACACACACCGTAACACACATGCACACGCACATGCCACACCACATACATGGCACCACACCCTTACACACACACATGCCACATGATACACACTGCAATACACTCACACAGACACACACACACAAATGCCATACCACACATACCACGCCACACACCTATATATACACTCTCCCACACACAACCACACACATGTACACATCTACCTGCACACATGCCACACCACATACACAGTACCACATACCCATACACTGTACCACACACTCATATACACCCACACCCACACACGCACACACACATATGCCACATCACACAGCATGCCACACACCTATACACACCCACACACATATACATAGCACACAGAGACACACATATGCCCTATAAACAGACATAGCACACACACAAACACACACACCCCCCTACAGATTCAAGAAGGCACCTCTGGCTTCTACTCTGCCATCAGAATGAGCTATCCTAGAATAATGCAACGGGTGGGCCTAGTTGGATGTTTCTTCTTTTTCATTAGAATAGAAGCCATATGAGAGGCAAGGGCTGAGACACAGGATTGAGACAAAGAAATTGGTACCATAATCAGAGTGTTTGGAGGGAAAAGAAGGGACCTCATTTTGGCATTTCTCTTCTCAAAACAACATCCAGAATGACAAAAGCCCACGCAAGAGGGAATACATAGAGCTGCATGTCAGAAGGAAAATACAGGGTAATGGAAAAAAGGTTTGACCAAAGACAAAAGTTTCTGAATTTCAAGGAAAATGTCAACATAACGTCCTGATACAGCTTCCACTGATCACTGTGGAGTCTTTGACCTTCCTTACCCAAGGGGATACTTAAACACACCACGCAAGGGCATACTCAGCACCCAGCTTGCCAGGGGGACCCAGCCACAGCCCAGAATGGCACTGCAGCTTAGGTACGCTGTCTAGGTCCTCAGGACACTGGCAGGACTGCACTGCTGCAGACCACCGCCCTTGGGTGCAGCGGACGCCCCCATTTCTGACCAACAGAACATCTAGCAGTCATAACACGATCAATTCCATCCCTTTGCCCAGTGGAAGCATAACTGCAACCTGAGTCACCGAAATAAAACGACATCAGGACAAAGTTTGTAAGAGAATTTGAGCCCGGTGGAAAAGTTAAAAATGCACTCATCATGAAAAGAAAGCCTCTGAAGGGCCTCGTGGGACGTGTCCACCCTCCTTTCATTTGGGGATGTCCAGGGAGGCCGCACCACCCCTCGCCCTGACCACGGTGCATATCAAAGGCCTCGTGGCTCGCCAAGGCCACAGCTCAAGATCAGGCAACACACCCATGTTTCTATCCTCCTCTCACCCTGGGCTGCCATCTTCCTTGGCTTTAAAGGTCTTCATAAAACTACCTGACACTGCACGGAAGACATTCCCTGTCTGTTCAGATGTCCCTGAGACAAACAACCTGTGTCAGGGCACTCTTCTCCAGGCTGCTCTAGAGCACGGCTAGACACAGGGACTTGGGGACACAGGGTGTCTCCTGGACTGACACCCTTCATGACCCCTCAGCCAAGGGAGAGCAACTGGGGATGGGGAGGGTGATGAGGGCATTGCGGGGAGGCAGAAGGAAGAGGGGAACTTCCTGACTGAGCGCAGTAGCTCACATCTCTAATCCCAGCACTTTGGGAGGCCAAGATGGGAAGACTGCTTGAGCACAGGAGTTTGAGACCAGAATGGGCAACCCAGCAAGACCTCGTCTCTACAAAAAATTAAAATAATATCATCCAGGTATAGTGGCACATGCCTGTAGTCCCACCTATCTGGGAGGCTGAGTCACAAGGATCTCCTGAACCCAGGAAGCCGAGGCTGTGGTGAACTGTGATTGTGCCACTGCACTCTAGCCTGAGCAACAGAGTGAGACCCTGAGTGGGGATAAGAGGTCTTGAACAGAGGGAGAAATTGAGAAAAAAGTGAGCCACAGTCAGTGTTACTTCCTTTTCTCCCATATATTTTCAAGTACCCCATTAGCTTACAAGTAGCTTTTATTTATTTATTTATTTATTTACTTTTTGAGTTGGAGTCTCACTCTGTCACCCAGACTAGAGGGCAGTGGCACACTCCCGACTACCGCAGCCTTGACCTGCTGGGCTCCAGCGATCTTTCCACCTCAGCCTTCCAAGTAGCCGGAAAGGAGGCATGCGCTACCACGCCCGGCTTATTTTTGATTTCTTGTAGAGACGAAGTCTTGCCAAGTTGCCCAGGTGGGTCTCGAACCCGCGGGCTCAGGCAATTCACTCGCCTTGGCCTCCCAAAGTGCTGGGATTATAGGCTGAGCCACCAAGCCTGGTCACAAGTAGCTTTTAAACAATGAGTTTGTTTTTAAAATCAACCCAAGTTTTCTCAGAATCTCAAAAACAAAGCAAAATAAGCAAACAAAAAGAAACCCATGCACCAGGCATAGTTTTAAGGTAGATGATACAAATAACCAACCCAAGTACATATCTCATTTATTTCCCATTTGTGCACATGGAATTTTGCTTGATTTGTGGGGGAAGCATGTCAAGATACTTCTGGGCCAGACGTGGTGGCTCAAGTCTGTAATCCTAGCACTTTGGGAAGCCGAGGTGAGGGGATTGCTTGAGTCCACAGGTTCAAGAACAGCCTGGGCAACTTGGCGAGACCTCATCTCTACAATACATCAAAAAATTAGATGGGTATGGTAGCGTGTGCCTGTAGTTCCGGCTACTTGGAAGGCTGAGGAGGAAGGATCGCCTGAGCCTAGCAGGTCAACGCTGGGGTGGCCGTGAGTGCGCCTCTGCACTTTAGCCCAGGTGATGGAGTAAGACTCCAACTCAAAAAAACAAACAAACAAACAAAAACAAGATATTTCTGCGGTAACTTCTATGACAATGCAGTTTATCCAGAAAAATAAAACGTTTACAAAACATAAAAGCAATTGCAGCATAGGTCAAGGAATTCTGAGTGTGTCCTCCAAGAATGAGATGCTCTGGGGAGACCACCGCCATTTTGAGATTTACTCGCTAAAAAAATAAAATTAGCTGTGTGTCCATCCTGTGAACATGCCACTGATGGAAGAACTCCAATAAAGCCCGAATTGTGATTCACCTGTCAATACTCATGGAGGATAAGGTGCCCCAACCAAGGCTCAATGTCTTGGACTGAGGTCCTTGCCCAACCACAAACTTTCATGTTTTATTTTGTTTTTTCACTGAGTCAACAATGGCAAAAGACCACGAGCTTTTTATGTGAACTTAGGCCAATTACTTAAGGTCTCTAAGTCTGATTTTTTTCTCACTTTAAAAATGAAAGCAATAATATAGTTATTGTGAAGATTAAAATAGTTCATGTACATAAAATGCTTAGTGTGGTGCCTGTACAGAGAAAGCTCCCAACCATTAATCAGTAAAACAGTAGAAGTATTAGTGTAATAAAAGTTAAAACAACTCTCTAAGCTGGAACAAAACTCTCGAGGGCTTGGCAAGTTCAGAGATACTTCTAAAGCAACTAGAAAATTTTAGAGTTGGAATAACTGACACAGGATCTTCTACTCAGACCTCCTTGACCAGTGGGTGATTTAGGGCTGATTTAGAGAGTGGTAAAGACAACATAAGTTTTGGGTGTTGGCTCCAGGCTGGGACCCACCAACTTACACCAGACCTCTACCCATCACAACTTAGTGCTGAGTCTCGTTCTGAGTATTTTTTTTTTTAAAGGAGGTAAGCCGAGATAAAGAGCCAAGAAAATTGTTCTTACTTGGTACACAACAAAGAGAAAGACCCAAAAGCATGGCCTGGAAGGGCTGGTGACCATTTGGTGGTCGCTTTTCACTTGTGCTGAGGAAGAACCACCGCAGCCGGGGAAGCAGGTCCCCACAGTGAGAAGACGTACCCCAGGGCGACCCAACGGATGGAGGCCTCACTCACTGAGTGCTTTCACCTGCAAACAGAAGCAGGTGCATCTGGCTAGCTGGGTCCTCAGTTCAGAACTGACTGCTGGCAAGTTTCTATGTGGCAAATGACTCCAACAACTCACATCTGAGGGTTAGCAAGGCCAGGTATTTCCCCACAGGAGGGGCGAGGTTGGTCGGCAACCCGGGGCCTGGGTTGATGGGTTACTGGGGTCGAGGCTCCCTCAGGGTCAACTTCCCATTGACGTTGGTGATGGGCCGGACCTGGCACCCCTGAGGCATGCATATGTGAGTCACAAATTCAGGATTTTAAGAAGGCTCTGGGGGAACTAGTTCCTTAGGAGAATCTCTGCCCCTCCATAAAACTGGTCCGAAGATATGGAAAACTAGGCTATCCATGGTGTCATGGTAGAGGCCCCCTCGAAACTAGGACCCAGAAAACATTTATTTCTTCAGAGGAACTTAGGTGAGAACTGCAGAGCAGGTTTAACTTTGATTCCTTCCTGCCTTCCTTCCATCCTCCCTGTCTCCTCCCTCCCTCCCTTCCCTCCTTTCTTCCTTCTGTTCTCCCT